GATGGATGGATGGATGGATGGATGGATGGATGGATGGATAGACAGATGGATAGATGGATAGATGGATGGATGGATGGATGGATGGATGGATGGATAGATGGATAGATGAATAGTGGGGTTGCGTGACATGTTTGAACCAGGACAAAGCTTTTCAATGATATTACATAACAGGGTTAAAGAGGGTGACTCATCCATTACCTGCATCCAAATCATCTCTCACTATATTTCAATGAACAGATTTTACTGAGCAAAACAAAGAGCGCTCACAAAACAAAGCAGAGCAACAGTCGGAAAGACCCTGTTAACCAACTGATGCTGCAGTTACACAGACACACACACACACACACACACACACACACACCGGAAGGGAAAGTTGCCAAGAAAGAAATGAATATGCAAGTGACTCATAGTGAAACCACACCATGGTTTGGTGAGAGAAAATCTTGAGCTTGGAAACTGTTTCGCTGTCTTTCGCTCTTTAAAAATCTGTAATCTCGTAAAGGAATAAAATAGAACATAAGAAAGTTACTCTTCATCTAAGCCAAATATCGGTTCAGCTTGAGGAATTATCTGCTGGGTGAAATGTTACCGAACCATAAACACTCTTGTGTGAACAAAATATGAAAATGAATAATCAGAGAAAGGAATAAGCTCTTTAGCTTCTTCAGTTCATCTAGCAGAAATCATGTTAATGAGGTCACGGCACAGCTGGACACAGCAGATCATCCACAGTGTCATCACACAGCAGCATGTAAACAAAGGCACACATGCAAAACACTCAGGAACACAAGTTTCTCTTTTCAGATGCAACAATCATCACCAGCGACAGTAACAATAGTTCAGAGATGGATACCATGGGAGACACTGGGAGTCGGTGAGGGGTCAGGGTGTCTCCTCTGGCCGGCCAGGCCTTCCACCACTGCTGCCACCGGCCCAGATATCTTCCTCCTCTTCCTTTCCTCTCGTGAGCACATTCTCTTTCCTCCTCTGGCCCCGCTCAGATAGGCCGGCTCTCCCTCCATCAGATTTTGATCCACTGGTCAGTGTCCACTAAGATCTCATCTCCTTTGCTCCGCTTATGTCACACACACACAAAGAGATCTGCCTTTCTGGTCTTTCACCCGCCTCTGTTTACAGCATCCAAGTCATCTACTGCAGGAGATGATGTGACTGATGATTTGATCCTCTCACATCTCCTCTGTGGTGGCCTCATACACTCTGGACGCAGTGATGTGTATGACAGGGCTTAAAGCTCTTTTGCTCAGGGTGTGTGCCTTGCATAAAGGTGGGGGTGGGGCCGATAATGCTTAAAAACTCAGCAGTCGTTCAATTCAGCCTAAATTGTCTGTGCACGTGTGTTGGTGTGTACTTCTGTGTGTGTGCAGACTATGATGATAATCCCTCAGACTGAGCCTCTGTGACCCCGCCCCCACACATAAATCCCATGTCAGAGTGAGACACAGAGAGGAAACAGTGATAAACCTATGATGTGGCCTGTTCTTGTGACGTGACGCTGTAAACATCTTGTTCGCACAGAGACACAGAGGTGACAACGCGGGTCTGTCCCAGTGACAGTGAAGATGAGGCAGAGGCAGAAGAAAAAGTGCAGGGGTTATTTCCCTGTGTTTTTTAGCTAAAGTTAATTATGTAAGGGATCAGATGCGTCGTTTTTAATTGTGTGGTTTTTAAAAATAATTTGTGTGACTTTTCCTTTACTATAGGGGCATCTTCAAGTGTACTGCACAAATGGTAGGATGGTTAAGACTAATGGTTAAAATAAATGTACGAAAGTAAAGTACATTAATAGGTAAGATAAATAGTTGAAATAATTAGCTCTAATTAATAATAACATTTTAGATTGAAGTAATGGATTAATGGTAAAAACAGATGGATACAAAAGTAATGGATAAACATAAGTATAGTTAATCATGTAAGGATGAATGGCCGAAAGAGCTAAGATAAAGTTAAAGTGATTAGCTACCAAGTAATAATAAATGGCTTAAGTAATTAGCTTAAAATAATAAATAAATAACCAAAATATCTTCCTCAATAAACACCCTGTCAAATGAAAGTGATGAATACGGTTGATATAAAAAACTGTATATAAAGATGGACGAGGCCTCCCACTGTCGAGAAATGTCAAAATATCCCGGATATGAACGCTGCCATCTTGTTCATTTGCAAACAAAGTATCGACGTCCCGTTGACATACACACTTGATCAATCGCTCTTCAGTCTCAGCTGTGTGATAAGAACTACCCCAAACAATAGAAATCATTGGCACTTTATTTGACGTGTTCTTTAACTTTTTTATTTAGTCTAGGTCCCATCTGCTAACATGGAGGAGGCGGACCTTTATGACCTATACTGCAGCCAGCCACCAGGAGGCGATGGATATGCTTTGGCTTCACTTTTGAGGAGCCGTCATGTCGTCCATCTTCATAAACAGTGGGGTTGAAATTAATGGTTGTGTAATGGATAAATGACGGATAAATGGAAGGTATCTAAGATAGATAGACATAAAATATCTTATTAAGTCTCGAAACATGCTGTGAGATGTTTGTTCTCTGGTGTTTAAATTGATTTTTCCTCCCTCCCTCTGTTCCCGCTGTAAATCTGTCGAGATATGAGTATTTCATCCTGACAGGCAGCGATGATCTGCTGTGGACTGTGGCTCTAATCGTCGGAGCATGCAGCTGTAATCCGTCTCTCGTGGAGAGTTGTGATCGTGTAGGCCTGTGTTTTTCTGTGTCTCCTCTAGTCCTGGCCGTGACATCATCCTCGTGCCACCTCCACACACCCCATATGGGATTGGGATTAGAATAGCACATAATCCCGCTGCTGTAAAAGGGAATTAGCAGCCCAAAGCTCAATCACTGCACTAACTCATAATACACAAAGGGAAGGCTGGCTCCCTGGACACCTTTCATACAAATGTGAACACAGACACATGCATTGAGTCTATTTCTGTGCCTGTGACTCACACACTCACATTCACACACGTGCACGAGAGTCAGGGCCGCAGCAACAGCCTCGAAAATATCATATGCCCGTTATACATGAAAATACATCACAGAGAAGCAGTGGAGTGTTTTAATCTCTGCTCACAGATGGTGTTTCTTGAATGAAGACGCAGCATCTGTCTGCTCACATCAGCACAACTCTGCACACTGACACACACGGGCCACGTGTGCACGAGCAATCCTTCACTTATTAGTCCACCGATACTAATATCCCCGGGGGACGGGGGGGCATTTCCACCCTAAAATCTCCTCGGCCGAGGCACATTCCACAACACCCACACACTGACTGCTCAGCGTGTGATGCATCACACAGGTATGCAGGACTGCTGCTTAATTTAAGATGCATGTGAAGACAGATGGATTTACACCCAATGCATTTCGTGAGGTTGTGACTTCCGTGATCTCAATTAAAGCTGAACTTGTACAACAAATTGCCAGTCTGAGGTTTTTCCTGCTGTGAGAGTCACATGGTCTGTGTTAGTATTATATGTAGTCCTCTAAGACTCACCTATCATGAAATTGTGGTCTCAGAGTTATGATTCATTTATTTTTAACTCATTCACATCAACCCCTTAAAATCTGCCCAAAACCAACACAGTAAATCTCTGCAACTACAGGCTTTATATGAAAAGTCTTGGAATCTACATAAACATAAAGCTTGTTCGATTTTTGAAGAGGTGAACACATAAGTATATGTGTTGCAAGGTCAGAGTAAATGAAGATGAAATGCATCATAAATTAAAGATTTCATGTCTGGTTTTTATTTAGATCCCTTGTGAAATTGTTGTAACCTAAAACCTTTAGTAATCCATTGCACATCTCAACTTAATCTGGGCTGAATTTAATTTTAATAAAGCGAAGCAGAGGAAAGCCAAACAGGTTTTGGAAGAGATGTAATCCCCAAAACGGCAAAACTTTGTGTGGCATTTGAGTTTTGTCACTATAAAACTCATTTATTTTCATTTGTATGTCACTATAAGTGTTTATTTCATCTGATACAACTGTTTCTGAATACATCTGAACAGCTCTGTGTGTTGAGCTGCCAGTGACAAAATAACTTAGATTCGATGAGTTTTTTTTCAACATGAATGAATCTGTTCAAAACGTGTACAAACCACAAATGGTTATACATTCATATAGGTAATTTTGTATAGTATACAATATACAGATTTTTAATAGTATCAGGTTTTTGGAAAATTAAAATTTTTAGGTGTAACTTGTCAATGGTTTGAGCATCTCACAGAAATCTTACAAATGTATATGGTTATATATTATATAGTTAAAAAATCTGCTAAATAAATGTCAATAATAATCATCATCATAACTACAGCAATAATAAACTGTAATTGTTTTGTGCCAACAGGGAAAGGTGAAAAAAATAAGAGATAAAGCAAAAAAATAAAACAAATAACAGTTAAATAAATGCAAATCAGATATTCCAAAAAGAGAAAGCTTTTAAGATGAGATTTAAAAATAATGATTAAAAAAATGGTGTTTGTAGAATCTGGGTGATCTGTATCTCCCTTGGCTTTGTACCTGTCATGAAGTCGGTGTCTGGCGCCAGCAGTGAGTCGCTGTGGTAGCTCTCCTTCAGCGAGGGCCTCCTCAGCAGGCCGTGCACCGTCTCCTCCATCCCCAGGCCCTGGTCCACCAGCTCCTCCATGAGTGCGTCCCCCTCCGCCACCGTGCCCGCCGCCATGGCCCCTGACAAACTCTGTCTGTCTGCCTGAGTAAGTGAGTGATCCTCCCGGCTCCTGCTAAGTCTTGTACGCTTCACTGCTGAGATAATTCACCTTCCCTAAACCACCGGTGGATTCCACCTCTCCTTTTCCCTCCCTCCCTCTCTCTCCCCCGCTGTGCAGGGAGAGGGTGATGTCACTCAGAGGACAGATTAAGGACCTGTAAGCCATCTGAAGCTCAGGGGCGGACAAGACTAAGAGATCTGTGCTGTATTGTGTGTGTGTCATGTGCACATGGATGGATAATGAGAAAATGGGCCCCTGGGATCAGACAGGTTAAAGGCCCCCCATCCCTCCACTACATGACCCCCCGAGCCTGAAAGAGACACAATCAACTGCAAACAATAAGATCATCTGTTGTAGTTTTGTCTCTTGTTTGTAGTTTTGTGTCCTGTTTTGTAACATTGTGATGATTTAGTGCCTCTTTTGGTCAGTTTTTGTAGAAATGTTTTCTCTCTTCGGGGCCATGTTGTGCTTCTTCTTGGTAGTTCAGAGTCTCATGTTTGAGTTTGTGGTCATTTTGTGAGTCTTGTGGACATTTATTTTTTCTTAGGGGGTGATTTTTTTTTTTCTCTGTATCACTTGTGAAACTGTTTATCATCAATTTGTGCCTGATGTGATCTCAGGAATTCTCTCTGTGGTCATTTCGTGTCCTTTCAGTCTTTTTGTTTATCTTACTGCTTTTTTTTGCATCACTGTGTTGTTACTCTTTGACATTCACACATGAAAAATCAACATTCACGTTATCCAGAAGCTGTGGTCCTCGTGGTTCTCTGTGGCCCCTGCTCCTTGTACTCCTGTTTGATAATCCGTCTGTATTTGTAGAGTGTGTAGACAGGGGTCAGGGAGGCCTCGGACAGGGAAAAGACTTTCACATTAAAGACCTTAAAATAACTTCCTGAAAGATAAGTTACATAACCGCTGTCTGCAAACAAGCAGCTACTGCTTCGAGGAGGAGAGCAGCGAGTAACAAATACTGACCTGTGTGCTGAGAAAACACTCACTCCTGAAAAAAACACACACAGCAGGGTGGGACCGTGCAATTTGCTGTTGCACACAAAGTTGCAGCCGAGCACACAATTACACCCCCCAGAAGAGCTTACATCAGGCTACCATCCGGCGTGTCCAGCCCTGGTGCACTGTAAGGATGATGAGATTCAGAGATTAGGGAGCACAACTTGATTAATTACAGTCATCAGGAGGACAATAAGCCGGACGTGGTAATTAGACCGACAGAGAAAGACAACAGGAGCAGATGAAAAGCCAGTTAGGTGATTGTGTTGGGTCTCCCCTGGTGTAAGCTGGCTTTCTGTCTATTTTGCATTCGCTGCTCTGATTCTTTCTCCAGCAGATGCTCCTCTTTGCTGATCCATCAGAGCCTCCTGTTTCCTACAGTGTCAAAAAAATGTAATTTACTTTTCACTACATTACTTTTCCTGGTGTTTCATAAAAATCTTCAAATAAAAAATGGTAACCGTGATCACACATGCTGTGTGTAAACTTCCTGTTCCTCTCATTCTCAGGGTTTTTTCCCCTCGATTTCCGTTTGTCTTCTCCTCACACTTCCTGTTTGCAGTTTGGTAAATGCTAAGGTGGAACTATTTAGTGCAAATGTATGTAAATAAATGCAAGAAAACAAAGAGAAAGATAAACAGTCACTTAATATGTATCTATGTACATGTACTGTTGATTCTCCCATATTAACAGGCTATTACAATACATTTTAGAATTCTACATTCTAGAACATTAACAATGAACAGATATTTTACGAGGAACAACCATCACGATTATTATGTTACTAGTTTCAAAAGAAGTACAAAATACTTCTGCTAGTGTGAATCAGGTGTTCTCTCAATGTGCAGACTTATAGATTTTACACATGAGCAAAGTATAGGAACTCAATTACAAGTATTTGAACTCAGTTGTTTGATACTTTTGATTTGTGTGTGTGTGTGTGTGTGTGTGTGTGTGTGTGTGTGTGTGTGTGTGTGTGTGTGCTTACTTGTGTGTGTGTGTGTGTGTGTGTGTGTGTGTGTGTGTGCATGAGTTGCTTCAGGCCTGAACAAGGGACAAAGCCCAGAGACAGATAACGACTCTGCTGACGGAGGATAAGAGAGTGGGAATCATGGGAGTAAGACAGGAGAGAGATCAAATTTGCACACTGTTCAACATTAACAGATAACAAGCCAGTGTATAGGTCCTGGTTAATACCTGGATACAGAGGTCACAGAGGGTCTGACCCTGACCCCTGTATTTCATCTCACTACTGACCTCCTGTGGGTATTGTACTAAATAACAGCTGGTTGGTTAAGGAATCTCACTGATTTCCTATTGAACACATGAAAGGAGAACAGTTTTAATCCAGTATAATGTTATATAATATAGAAAGATAGTTGATACAAACACTGAAGTTAGATCCACTGGAAAGAAATATTTCACCTGTTGGTCATCGTCCTTCAATGAGAAATAGGTGACCTTTAAAAATACTTGAAATAATGTTGGAACAAGTTGACGTTTCATGTTTAAATGTTTAAATAAAAACCCAGACACAATTTTCACAAAGGACTTAAAATTTATAAATATTCTTTGAATGGAACATTAAATCAGAGGGATGTTATAATAATTCTTCGAAAAAAAAAAAATAATCCAAGCAATTTTCAGAGAGCATGACAAAGTGACAATAATCTGATACACACATCGCTTCTCTACTCCAAAAATATCTAGACTCTTATATCCCCCGTTTTTCCAAATATATGTCGACAACAAGCATCAGCACAGACACAGAAAGCAGAATCTCATGGGTTGGTCGGGTGCTTTTGTTTGGACTCACTGAGCGAACGCACTTCCTGTGTGGCATCAAAAGAAGGTCACTGGCGTTTGACCCTGGCCACCAAACCTTCTTCTGAGTGACGGCCCTGCCCCGCTGCCATGGCAACAAGGGATGCAACTGTGTCCATGCAAAGCTGCTGGAAAATTAAGTTATATCCATAATACCGTTCAGTCTGGTCAATGCTTTTAGGAGCGCTGACCAGACTCATGACACCCTCCAGGAAGTTCGCTCTCAGTAGCCAAAAGATAAAAATTCAAGGCCATAGCACGAGGGAGGAAACTGTTGGACAGTATTGGGATGTGGCCATGAGAGACACAGGAATTCCTGCCCTCTAGGGGCCAAACACCATCAATGCACATCTGGGAGAAAGGCAGCGGTGGCCAGCTGATGCGGACGGAGGGTGAAGCTGTTCAGTAAATCCTTAATTTGATCTACTCATTAAGTATATTAAAATTCCTAAATGCAATCTCGGCCCACTGCTAAACCGTGTCATTTTAATGACTTCCACAAGGGACTGCAGGTAAATTATTTATGTTGGGGAAGTAATGTAATAAATTAAATTTAAGAAAACGTCCACAGGAACATCAATATGTTGTTTAGACCCTTCCTTTTTTGGATCTACTAAAACTGGATTTAAATTATGCAATACTTTAAAAAAAAGATTGAAATCTAATTATGAAACAAAAGGAAGCTGTCTCACCCTCTACAGTAATTTTGATATTGAGCTAAAAAAATAGAAACAAGGAAGTTATGTCATTGTCAATTTAATGATTTCAATGAGGGGGTGTGGGAGATTTACTTGTGTTGGGAAGGGGGAGATAAATCGTATATTTACCTTTGTCCATTCCTTTTTTGGACCCTACAAAATGGGTTTCAGTATTTTCCCCCCAGAATTAATTAAAAATATATAATCATATAACAAAGGAAAGTTTAAACACCCTCTCCTGCTCTCCAAAATAATAGAGTACACTTGCTGAGAGAAAAAAAAACTTGACAGCATCATCCTCCGTAGTAATTTTTCCATAGTCCCAAATTCCTGATCCAAACTCTACTATATTGGGCTGAACTAGACAGATGGGATCTCAGGTGTACCATTGCCCCAATAGGACCATTGATAAAACTCAGGTGACCACTTCGCCACAGAATTCTCCCAAACATTGCACCTAAGGGCGGTCAGGTTGAGCAGGAGAGCTAGAAGTCCCAGAGGCCTCAGGTCAGTCTCGACTTTTTTAAAGTGTCTTAAACAGGGAATCTGATCAAACGTTCAATTTTGTGTCGACTTCTGCTCTCCTGTCTGTCAAAGCGCGATGGTCTCCAGCCCCCGACAGCAAAAAGATTTAAACAACATTTACATCTCTGCCGATAAACGCTGCGCAGTCATTTCTTCTCTAAACTCATAAATTACAAATAAACAGAAATCATCAATCCTGGAGAACAAAGAAACAAGATATAGTTCAATTAGACACAGTATTTCCAAATAAGTTAAATTGAAATCTTAATATATTGTACTGTTTACTCCATTTAAATATTTTTTTTCTTACTTTAAATATAACTATTACAGATCTTGCAAAAATACTACGCTGTGCATTGGCTGTCTGCTTGTTTTAAAGAGTGCCCAGTGCTTCCTGGATTCAGATATGTACACTTCAATAGAAATCGTCTGGGAGTTTTCCTCACTGCTTTTTATCCACAGCCTCAGGTTATACGACGGCATCGGCTCCCTTCATTCTCCTCTCTTTCATTTGGTCAAATCTCAATTAACGCTCTGATGATTTTAAAACTAATTTGTGATACAGAAATAAATAATAATGCATATTCTTTGCTTGATCTTTTTTTAAGTTCACTTTCCAAAAATAGCAAGTCTAAAAATATATTGCATATGCCATCTTAGGAAATCGAGATAATAAAATATTCTTAATAAGGAGAAATTGTAAAGTAGGAGAATATATATTACTTCTTTGAAGAATCTGGGCTTTTGAATAGAAACCAAGAAAAAATACCTATTGAGCAGGATTTGATTTTGGGATCTGGGCTCAAAGTCATGCACGAATAGAGAGAAAGTTAAAGATGGCTTTAAAGTGTTGGAAGCTTTAACTGCTTGTCCGATAACGATGAAAATCAGGGCATTTGCTGTGTAGGAAAGCAATCGGGTACTCTTTTTTTTTTTCTCTTTTTTAAGGTACACACACTCCGACTCTTTTTGCTGAGTAACAGTAAAACACTTGCAGGTTCAAAAGGCAATGAAAGAGTTGCGGTGTGAAAACCCGCTATAACTCAATTAAGCATCAACCCCACCCCGACCCCCACCCGCAACCCACCCTGCAATCCAAACACACGTCTAACATGGTGCTATGTTCATCCCATAGACTGTGCATAAAGATGGATGACATGAAGGCTCCCCAAATGTAATGCCAAAGTATCTCAAATGCCCTCTAGTGGTGGGATGCAGTATAGCTCATAACCCCTACCTCCTCCATGTTAGTGAATGAATCAAACTAAAAAAGTCAAATAAATAAAGGTGATGATGGTTTCTGGAATATTAGGTAGTTCTTTGTTTCACCAGTAAATTTGGTTTGAATTTGTTCTTCAATGCTTTAAAAACGGGGTGAAACGTCACAATTGACAGCTGAGTATGACTAGCGACTGGTCGAGCATGTGTATCTGCAGGACCTCGCGACCACAGCTCCATTCCCTGATCACTACTGTGGACACTCTGGCCCCAAATGACATCATCAGCACAAGATGGCGGTGTTCATATTCAAGATATTTTGGCTTCGCTTCTGGATACCGGGGGGGAAGTGGAGACATGTCGTCCATCTTTATCTACAGTCTATGAGTCAGGCCTCATCCAGATCCCTTTCTGAAACCTCATCACATCAACAGTGTGGATACATAATACACACATACATATATA